CTTTCTTTCTTTCTTTCTTTCTTTCTTTCTTTCTTTCTTTCTTTCTTTCTTCTCTCTCTCTCTCTCTCTCTCTCTCTCTCTCTCTCTTTCTCTCTGGGTTTGTGCTGCCACGTGTTTGCTGCAACCCTGGTTTCGGGCTTCACCTTCTGCCTCCGCCACGTGCACACACAGCCCTGCTGGATGAACCCTCACTGCTGGATTCCCTAACCCCTGCGCAGGGACTATTTCTCTTCTAGTTTGTGCCATAGCGGCTGTGGGGGATTGGAAAGTGGGAGGAAGCCAGTTTCGGCGGTCGCTTTAGGACAGACCCTTAGAACCTACCACTATGCCCATTTCTCTCCTGCAGCAAGCGACCGGGACTCTCCTGAGACGGGCGAGGAGATGGGCCATGCAGAGAGCGCCTGGCCGCGGTGCCCAGGGCCCGGAGCCGTGCCGCGGGAGGTGACGACGCAAGGCCCGGCGGCCGGCGGGGAGGAGGCGGCGGAGCTGGCCGAGGCCCCGGCGACGGCGGCGGCGGCAGCGGCGGGGGAGGCGCGCGGCGGCCGCAAGAAGAAGACGCGCACGGTCTTCTCGCGCAGCCAGGTCTTCCAGCTCGAGTCCACCTTCGACCTGAAGCGCTACCTGAGCAGCGCGGAGCGCGCGGGCCTCGCCGCCTCGCTGCAGCTCACGGAGACGCAGGTCAAGATCTGGTTCCAGAACCGCCGCAACAAGTGGAAGCGGCAGCTGGCGGCCGAGCTGGAGGCGGCCAGCCTGTCCCCGCCGGGCGCGCAGCGCCTGGTCCGCGTGCCCGTGCTCTACCACGAGAGCCCCCCGGCCGCCGCGGGGCCCGCGCTGCCCTTCCCGCTGGCGCCGCCCGCGCCCGCGCCGCCGCCGCCGCTGCTCGGCTTCTCCGGCGCGCTGGCCTACCCGCTGGCCGCCTTCCCGGCCGCCGCCTCGGTGCCCTTTCTCCGCGCGCAGATGCCGGGCTTGGTGTGAGCCGGCGCCCTCAGTGCGGGGGGCGCCAGGAGGAGGAGGCGGTGGACGGGAGGCACCCCGTGCCTCGAAGCCCCTCCGGAGGCCGTCTCCGTGGGTAGCCGCTCCCGAGGGTGCCGGGCGGTGGCTGCTGCGGGGCTGGAGCCCGGCTCGCTCGGAGGAAAGCGGCGACGCGATAGCTCTCGCCGGTTCTGAGCGGATTAGGGCTCCCAGGCGGCAAACGGACACTTGGAACGGGCTGGCCAAGGAACCACGCGGTGACTGTCCCCGAGGCATCCTGCCCCTAACTCAGAATATCCTTTTCTCGGGACTTCGCAGGAACCCAGACAGCAGGGACCCACTTCCAAGAGACAGTGCAGAAAGACTCGGGCCTTGGGACAACCCATCTTGGGCCTCTCTTCCGAAGAGGGCTTCCCTCCTGGGCCGCCTTGGTTCTCTTGGCTTGGCGAAGACTTTTTTTTTTTTTTTTTTTTCTGTGATGAATCTATTTCTTTGCATATGGAATAAAAAGGGACGTTTTCTGGATGGAGTCGCTGCTGTGTGGTCGCTGGGGGCAGAGGCGCTTCTGGTAGCAGGCATGAGTGAGTGTGTGGGTGCTTCCCTCCCAAAGCTGGCCAGGGACTTGGGCTGCCCCAGGGGAGGTGGGCGGGGCAGGCTGGAGCCACCCTAAAGTTTACTCAAGGCGTCTAGACTGGAAGGCCCAGCAGCCTCCCTAGAAAGCTTAAAGGTCCAGGAGTGAGGAGTAGGGATGTAAAGATGGCAGCCTGTTATACAGAGTTCTGGGCGCTGAAACCAAAGACAGGCATAGAAAGGCCCTCTGGCCCTTTGTCACAAGAGTTCATGGGGTTGTGTGGCCACTGCACTCACCTGCGCTTGGGACAGAAGGATGTGTGTAGACAAAAACAAAGCTCTGGCTGTTCAGCAAGGCGCTGGGGTGCCTGCTCCTGCCTCCCCTGATCCATCGGTGGCCTCTGTGTGGGATCTCTGGGGAAGCTGCTTGAGCAACATGAACCTCCCTCCAGACTCACCCATCTCCATTGCTCCCAAACTGACTGCTCCTACCTACAGGTGGGTCCTCTCCGAGTGAGGAGCGGTTGCTTTATTTGGTGTTCCATTAAGCCTAATTGAGAGAAGGCTTTCCAAATCTGAAGGGGTCAGGTCATTCCAAGTCTTAACAGAGAACCTTGGAAAATCTGCCTTCCTCCCCGCTCCACCTGGAAGCAGGCACCCCACAGCTGAGATGCACAGCCACCAAGCCACACTGGGCTTGGGGTGCCCAAGGTGGCGCCAGACAGCCTAGGAGAAGGCGCCAGGGGCTTGGGGGAGTCAGGCTGTCGGAGTGTGTGTGTGTCTATGTGTCTTCTCATGTTTTCTCACCTCCACCCTCATACAAAGAAGTGGTTTCCCGTGTGGAGACTGGGCATTAGTGCTCTGCAGAGCACCTCCTTTCTCTCTTGCTGCTCTCAGTTCTGATGCCCTGAAGTTGTGGGTATTTTGAGACTCATCTGGAGGAGATGTTGGTCCTTGACCAGAAGTCTCATCTCTGGGCCTTCCTCATCAGCCAATCTGGGGCTTGGAGCCTGGACACTCACTCTTTGTGACTTGGGATACTCTGAACTGCTTTTCCTTGAGTAAACCAGCTTTTACCGGCTTTGTCTGGGAAAGTCTATAATACACTTCAATGAACTTGGAGTTTTCAAAGGCCTTGGGCAGCAGCCACACAGGGTCCCCAGACAGATGGGGCAAACCTCCCCCCCACCCCCCACCCCCGTCTCTCTTCTCACCTCTCTATTGTGCCTTCACCAGCCAATTGGTGCCCCTGGCTTCTGTTGCTGCTGTTGTACTGTTCTCAGGATCAGTGTCTGTCCATCTTGGAAAGGACCTGGGTGCAGACAGTGGCCCGATACAGACCCTAGCACAGCACAGGCACCCACCGCAGTAATATGACTCCTGTTCCTATACACAATGGGTGCCTCCCATGGCACCCTTCTATCTCTACATTCCTATGCCCCAGTGTTCCAGGTGGGCTGGTCTCCAAGGGCTCAGGTCGCTCCTCAGCTTTTTAAAATGTTCAGTTAGACCGGAACGAGGCAATCATTGTGAGGCCACTATTTTGTTCCAGTTTCTATCCGATGCCTTGGGCTGAGGTCACATGCTGACTGCAAGGTGTCTCTGAGCCCCTCAGCAGCAACTGTGTCCTCATCAGAATGCCTTATCAAGCCCCAAGTGAACTACCCCAGGATTCACCCACCACGAGGGTAGGAAGCACAAGGGACAAGATCCTAAGAGCATCTGCAATAGAACCTCCTTCCATCCATTGGGGAAGGCGAATATATATATTAAAACAAATGTGTGTGTGTGTGTGTGTGTGTGTGTGTGTGTGTGTCAGCAACACCAGGCAGGAGAGTTTCCCACCTCTCTAACTACCCCCAGCCTCGAAGGGAGTTTTTGGAGACCCTCAGCAGGAAAGTCGTGTCTCCTGCAGCCAGGAACTGGACCTCTTGGGGCAGAGGAGGTGAGAGTGGGACACAGCTCACCAGGCTCAGGCAAGCTTGCCATACTCCCATAAGTGTCCACAAGGTTCTGGGGTGCAGCGTTGGAAGGCAGCACAAAGTAGAGAAAACGGATCCAAAGGCAACACACAACATTCAAGTCTAGAGGGTGCCAGGACCAGCCAGGGACCTTAGCAAGTCTCGATCCTGGCATCGATTGCAGGCACACCTCGTGGCATTGACTCTTGCTGGCAGGAGATTGATGGCTTCGATCTGTCTCTGCCAGGTGAACTTCCCTGTCCAGCCTCACCAGTGGCTAAGTAAGGCCCAGATGCACTCACTCTGAACTGCAGAGCCTCCCGGCTCATGAGAATCAAGTACATGACCTCCCGGTGGACCCTGTCCTACTGGCAAGAGGAATCCCACCCGAAAACCCTCTTTTTTGAGGTCCCAGTTTCCTCATCACAAGCCCTGTATGCATTCTCTATGTGAGACCAACAATGTCCATGCTCCTCAGGGCATGCAAAGTTACCAGACAGTCAGGAATATTCCTAATCCAACTGAGTTTCTACCAGGAGTATGGAAGCAGCCCTAGGCTAGCCCATCTCTCTAGGTACCAGGTGTGGTGGCCAATTTTGGTCCTGGCTCAGAGACCAAGGACATCCAGGAAGACGCCTTCCTGCTTCATGCCAAACCAGAGCAAAAAACCAGTAGGTATTGCGAAAACCAATAGCCTTCCCGAAAACTGCACCCCTACGCTACCAGCTGCAGGAGAGCTTCGAGACAGACAACTTTCACACCACATTCACGAAATCTGACTGCTCTCAGGAAAAGCTCCCCAGAGCCTGGGCTCAGCCTTCACAGCCCAGCTGGGTTGAGAACAGGGGCTGGGCACTGGTCAGGTGAGCTAAGCCAGGAGGAGCCTTTTCTCTCTAGCAGCAAGGCACAAAACGGAAAACAGAAAACGAAAGCGGTCTTCTACAGAGAATCAACTCTGAGCCAGGGAAGCTCCTAGGAGGCCAGAGACCTTTACCAGATGTTGCTGGACGTTTCCCTTCTGACTGGTGCTGATGAACTAAGGAGGTCCCTTTGCTTCAGTGAACTAGCTCAGCAACCAGGGCAAGCATTTACCAAAAACACTGTGGGGAAAGGACGTGGGGAAGTGAGTCTCTGGACTGCTTCCTGGGTGCCCAGTTGGCCTGGAAGGAAAAGAAGAGGTGGCTGTCCCCTTGGCAGTGGATTGGAGTGAGGTCACATCTGTCTTTACAGTTCGTTCATAGGCACCAGGACTCAGGGAAAATGGGGACAGGCTAGGGCTTTCTATGGGTTATGAGGAGGAGAGAGCGTGGTCTTGCTGTGTCTGGGTTTATTTGTTTTGTTGTGTCACTTTTTTTTTTTATTATTATCATCAAGAAGGTGTTTGTGCGTATTATTCCCCTGGCAGTTCAGTAAAGTCAGAACGGAAAAACAAACGAACAAAAACAAAACAACGAAATTGAGTGCCCTTTCACCATCAAAGCCAACTGAGTGTTAAGCCGGACTGAGAATTTATTTGGACTATGTTTTTTAGTCAGACTATTACTGTAAAAAATTTTTTTAAGTGCATTTAATTTTAAATTAAATTGCATAAGTTCAGAAATTTATGAAATTACCAGTGAACCAATGTGACGTTGGTTTGTCTAAAATATTCAGTAAAATTAAAAGGAAGGCTGAAGTGAGGAACTTGATTAGGAATCTGTATTTGACAAAGGGCGAAGGGCAGAGACCTCATTTCAACATCTCTACTCGACTTTATATTTGAAAATAAACCGAAGTAAACCTGTTTAAGGAGCCGGTGGAAACACACGAGGAAATGTGCTTGGGGGGGTGGGGGTGTCTCTGACTCTCCGCCAGAGAAGCTGCTCTATGTTCCAAGTTTATTTTCATCCAATCCGGGTCTCACCTGGGTCCACTTACAACACCGCTTTAAAAAAAAAAAAAAAAAAAAAATCTGTGTTTCCTCCCGGCTTCGCCAGAATCCGACCGTTAAAGCTCGTAACTTCAGAGCTATTTTGGTCTCAACCCCCCCTTCCCTTCCCTCGCCCCCGCCCCCACGCAGCTTTCTGGGGGTTTCAGCCTCTCATTCCCGTCACGGTGACCGCTCCCGGATTCTCCACCCTGGGTCCGAGCGCCTGCGATTCATGGAGGGGCAAAAGGGCTTAGGGGTCGCGACCCAGGCGACCCCGCCACTCAGTGTGGGGTGGTGCGGCCTCTTCGGTCCGGATGCAACTCTTCGGTTTCTGGCGCTTTCGCTGAGTCTTTGCTCGGAGCTCGGCAACGGGAGACACGTGCAACGAGAGGGTGGAGGAGGGAGGGCCGCGACCGCGAGCCTCGTGGAGAGTCCCGGGCCCGGGACGTTGGAGCAGACCGTGCCCCCGCGGGCCCCGCGCGTTCCGGGACCGCGTGGACGACGCCTCTGCGGGCCCGCGCGCCCGCCCGCTCGCTCGCCGAGGCTCTGCGCCCGCCCGGGAA